CATAGGATAACAGATATAATCATTCCTGTTCAAAAAGAGAGAAATGGAGGAAGAAGAGTCACTGGTCTCATGCAAATCTGAAATCCAGACAGGCAAACTGGAAAAGGGCTCAAGTCCTAGGCAGAATTCTCTATACTTCCCAGCTCCACCAATGGGCCTGCGCTTCTGCCCTCAGAGCCACCCTTCCTGTTTACAGCGGGCAGCATGTTTCCTGCTTGCAGAGTTTGGGGCTCTTTCACGTTGCCCTCTGTTCCCTTTAGTTCAAACTGGCAGTGTTGCTGCTCGAAGACTCTCAAGAGCCTGTGGGACTACCATATGCGCCCTCCATTAGACAAGAGGCCCCCCCAGAGATCTTGTCTGGATATTCCCGCCTCTATTTTTGGCTTCTCCTTAGAAGCTGAAGGAATCTGAGTCCCACCCTTGATCTCTTCAGAGTGTTTTGTGTAAGTGAGTACTCTGACCTTTCAATCTTTCTGAGGTTTTAGCAAAAGACTATAGAGTAACCCCTTTGACTTTTTCTCTACAGCATGTTTTCCTACTGGATCTTTATTTTAACATCCTTTGCCATTTTGGTAGGCTAAGAATTTCCAAAATTAAGAACTCCTAGTTCCTTTTTCTTAAAAGGTATAATTGACATATAACATTGTGTTAGTTTCAGGTGTACAAAACCTTGATATAACAGACTCAGGCAAGGAGGTGTCCGTTAAAGCCGAAAGTCCGTTATATAAAAAAGTAGGTTTTCCAAATGTATATGTTAAAAAATTGACAAATTAGTTCATTTACCTGTTTTCACTTATCTAGACATGACATGACTGTGTAATTAAAATTTAAGTATGTATGAAAAGTTTAATTTCACAGAAAGGTTTGCTATATTACAGTCAGTTTAACTTTATACTGAGTAGGTCTAGCAAATGCATGCATTCACATCGAGAGTCAACAGGTGCACACGGCTGGGGCGTGGCTTAGCGCACGTGGAACATCGGCTCACACGTGTTAAAACTGCTGCAGAAAGTCACCCCAGGGAACAACAGGACCAATCACCGCCCCCGATGCAGTGATCTCGTGCTAATCGTTCGCCAAACATTGTTTGTGAGCAGTGACTCTTGGATTTCAATTTGTAGATTAGAGGGGGAGATATGTAATATTTATTTTTGTCAGCAAAATTACTAGTTTTTTTTTTCCAGCATATGGCCTATTCGCTAAAATTTGTTAAAAATAACAGTGAATTTTAAAAATGTAACAGTGAATTAATAACAAACTAACCTGTTAACCTAATTATAAGCAAATCTTGGTTAATAGCATTTTATAATTAACAGGGTGGCCCTGGCCGGTGTTGCTCCATGGTTACAGTGTCAGCCCACAAAGGGTCTCGGGTTCGATTCCAAGTCAAGGGCATGTACCTGGGTTGTAGGTTTGATCCCGGCCTACTTCCTCCCTGTTTCCTTCCTCCCTCCTCCTCGCCTCCCTTCCCCTCTCTAAAAATCAATGAAAAAAATATCCTTGGGTGAGGATTAACAACAGCAACAAAAAATTAAAAGGGTGTTACTTTTCACATATGACACACGGACCAGAAATTTTGACCGTTAAATTCAAAGTCCATTAAATCAAGGTCCACAAAATTGAGGGTTTACTGTATAATACAATTATTTTATTTTTGTAAGCAACTCCTGGTTCTTGCTTAACAGGTCTCTCTTAAATTTATTTCTCTACTCCCAAATTTACTGTCACAAAAAAAACCAGGCCGCACCTCAACACTGTTTGGAAATCTCAGTTAAATTCATTGATTAGAAGTCCTGCTTGCCACATAACTGCAGGACACAATTCCACCAACTTTCTGTCACTACATAACAAAGATCCCCTTTCCTCCAGTTTCTATCATCTTCCCCATTTTCTTCTGAGTTTTCACTAGCAGCACCTTTAAGGCCCATATTTTATTTTATTATTTTTTAATCCTCACCTGAGGATATTTTTCCATTCCTTTTAGAGTGGAAGGGAGGGAAAGGGGAGGTGGAGGAGAGAGAAAAAACATCGATGTGAAAGAGACACATCGATTGGTTGCCTCCCACATGCACCCCACTGGGGCAAGGAATGAACCGGCAACCCAGGTACATGCCCTTGCCAGAACCAAACCCAAAACCCTTGGGTATGTGGGCCAATGCTCTAACCACTTAGCACCAGCCAGGGCAAGGCCCATATTTACATGGACAGTCACTTCTCTGTAGCAGAGTCTTTGACATCCACATTTCTAGTAACGGTCTGTTCAAGTCAATACAGGCTTTTTCTATCATGCTCTTCAAAATATCTCCAGCAGCTGCTCACTGCTCAATTCCAAAGCCACTTCTACATTTTTAGATATTTGTTATCTAATAAGCAGCACTTCCAGGTACCAAAATCTCTATTCGTTTTCTGTTCTTATTTTTCTAGCTTTGAGATATAATTGACATATAACATTATGTAAGTTTAAGGTACACAACATATTCACTTGATACACTTCTATATTGCAAGACCCTACTGGTTTTCTATTGCTGCTGTAACAAATTACCACAAACTTAAAGGCTTAAGACATTCATTTCTTTATCTTTCAGTTCTGTAAGTTAGAAGTCCAAAACAGGTCACACTGGGCTAAAATCAAGGTGTCAGCAGGGCTGCATTCCTCTCTGAAGGCTGTAGGGGTGAGTCCATTTCCTTACCTTTCCCATCCGAAACAAAAGTCCTTGGCTCACGGCCCCCTTCCTCCATCTCCAAATCCAGCAAGACTGCATCTCTCTGACGTGGCTCCCGTCAACACATCTCCCTATGACCCTTCCTCCTGCCTCCCTCTTCCCCTTTTAAGGACCCTTAGCCTTATATTGGGCCCATCTGGATAATCCAGACTACTCTCCCTACCTGCTGATCAGCAGCTTTCACTCCCTTCCGCCAGGTGATGTAACATAGTCACAGGTTTTGGGAATCAGGACGGGGCTATCTTTGAGGGGGGGAGGGGCATTATTATTCTACCTACCACATTTACTAATCATTTAAAATGAACAAAAAACCAACCATAATTTAAGGCAGCCTAATAAGATTCAGAGGGAATATTAGCAATTAAACAAATAAAAAACTCTCAATCAATAGTTGACCAATCTATTTTCAATTTTTCCAATATTTAGTGAAGCTAGCTGATCTAGTGAAGATTTTCTATGTCTTTCTTGTGGCAGACACTGTTCATTGGCTAACCCGATACCTATTTCCAACCCGTTCTTCCTTGCCTGCCCCTAATACTTGGGCTATAAAAACTACTCACTTTCCTGAACGCCTAAGGATGGTCATATAATACAGCTGTGCCAAATGAAATCTAAAAATTGCCTTGGGAAAAGCTATTGCATAAAACTGATAAAAGAGTCAGCCAGATGGTGCTGCCCTCCCTGGCCCCCTTCCCAGTACCCCACCCATCTTGAATGGTGCACTTCCAGTAATTCAGGTATCTATTTTGCAATAATGTGAGAATATCCACGAGAATTCAAGAGACACCAGCCCTGCCACTGTCGAACTACTGAACCAACACCAGCTACTCTAGCCTATTTTGTTTCAGTGACTATTTACACTGCCTTTCAGCTTCCAGCTGAAAGCTCTGGAAATTGAAACTACAGTCAACACAACTGCTGGTTAAACATAAGCACCCTCCTCCAAAATTTATTTTGTTTTACCAAAGCCATATTCACTTCAGTGAGTTATAATTAAGAAGGCAATTATTTTTTAAATAGCATCTGTTACATATTTTAGAACTCTAAATTATACATACTCATTCTAGGACATTTGGAAATGATCAAAAGTTTAAAGAAAATAAATAGCCACAACCCCAAATATCCAGAAATAACCTCCTGATAATATATCAGTGCATTTCCATCCACATGTTTTATGTACATATATAAAATATTTTTTTAAAAGTGAGACTATATGGAATACGTAGACTTGAATCCAACTCTCATCCAGCCCTATATTGAGGACTTTTCCACATCACTAAAGATATTTCAGCCCAGCTGGCGTGGCTCAGTGGTTGAGCATCAACCAATGGACCAGGAGGCCATGGTTCAATTCCCGGTAAAGGCACATGCCCGAGTTGTGGGCTCGATGCCCAGTGTGGGGCGTGCAGGAGGAGGCCGATCAATGATTCTTTCTCATCATTGATGTTTCAATCTATCTCTCTCTCTCCCTTCCTCTCTGAAATAAAAAAAAGGATGTTTCAAAATATTTTCAAAAATTAAAAATCAGATTATGAAATATGATTAAGTAATCATTAACAATGGTAGGCATTTAAGTTGTTTTATCCTTTTTGCCAATGTAAACAGTGTTGCAGTGAACATCACTGTATACAAGTCTTTCGGTGCTCGCTCTGATTATTTTCTGAACATTGTTGCATAGATGTGGCATTACTGGGTCAAAGGGATAAACCCTTTCAAACATTCAACAAAAGTTGCCAAACTGCTTTTTAGAGAAACTGAATCAATTTATTTTTCTACCTTCTTTCTATATACAAAATGGTCTCCCTTACAAGTAATGACTGTCTTTTTTCTTTTGCCAATTTGAGGAGTAAAAATATCATAACTCATTCTCGAGTTAATTTACATTTTCTGGTTACATTTTCTGAAAACGACTAAAGATATTTTGAACCTTTATATTGGTTATTTTATGAATTATCACTTGGAATTTTTTCAAGTAGAGGAGTTCTTTCTATTGTAAATATTCTGATGTAAATATTTTATTTCAGTGTAACACAACTCTTTAGTTTTGTTTACATATATTTTAAACATTTAAAATTTAATCATATCTATCATGTTATCAGATAGGGATGGTTTTTACATGACAACACATTTCAGAAAAGAATGCTTTGAGATATTATATTCTTTTAAATTCCTATTGACTTTCTTACAGTCAAACAAGTAAAATTAATATCAAGAGAACAACAAGCATTCCCACTAAATAAATAAGTATTCCACCCTAGGTTTTGACCATTCACCTACCTGCTTGTGACAATGATGACATCCTCAGAGATGTTAGCCATTTCTTTGATGGTAAGGTAGCACATTCTTCTCAATATTTGCTGAAATTATTTATAAAAGGCAACAGGTTATTCCTAAGAAAATAGCTTTCTAAAATGTTTGAAATGAGAACACCAAGTAGATATATTTAGGAAGTTTTTCTTAAAAAGATTCTCATCCACCCAAAAAAGTCCTTTCAAAAATATCTGGATAAGAAAATACTCAGAATACAACTATATCCTAAACACAAGTAGTTCCTGCACTGACACTGGAAAACACCTAGATGAAAACTCAAAATTTCAGTTAATTATCTGGATTTTTATGTAAAGAGACCCAAAGTTGGACTTGGGCAGTGTGAGTCCAAAGACTTAAGATTTTCTTTTTATCGTTGACTCTATTGTATGTGTCCCCATCCTCCCTCCCTTTGCCTTCCTCCATCCTGCCCCCGCCCCCCTGGGTCTTCACCACACTATTGTCTGTGTCCATGGGTTATACATATATGCAGATATATTCTTTGGTTGATCAATTCCCATCCTCCTCATCCTCTTCCCCTCTGAGATCTGTCAGTCTGTTCCATGTATCCATGCCTCTGGTCCTATTTTGTTCATCAGTTCATTCTGTTCTTTAGATTCCTCATATAAGTGAGATTATGTGGTACTTGTCTTTCTCTGAGTGGCTTATTTCACCTGTTAAAGACTTGTCCCGGGAAGTGTATTTTTTAAATTCTTTAAAAATAAAAATATAAAGGGATGGGCAGACTCTGCATTTTCCTTAGTTCATCATATACAGATGTTTTCCTTAAAGTATCCGTGGTTGTATAACTAACTCTCATTTTCAACTATTAACATTTCTAGATACCTAGATCTAAAATACATGTTAAGCTAACAATAATAAAGTTTTGTCTACCCTTTCTCCTCACCTGGATCTCTGATTTATCCATACACTATGAGCATTGGTTCCTCTGGCCTGTCTAGTCTCATTCTCTACCAAGTAACTTCAAATGTCTATAAGTAGTGAAACTCAAATACATCACACCCAGACTCAGAGTTTAAGCTATAGAAAGAATCTAGTGGAGACTACTGAGCCCAATAAGAAAAAGGAACAAGAGTGTGAGGGTTCTCACGGTGATTAAACACACACACACAAAAAAAAACTCCTAAAAAGAGAAAGCCAGTACAAGGCAGATATCTCCATATGAAACTACTAGGAGAAGAAAACAGAAAATAAGAATAAAAACTTCAGAGCTGAATATAAAAATAATAACCTACCATGAAGGAGAATAAAACTGAAGATAGAAAAAAATTAAAACCACATTTCAAATACCCAACAAAATGACTAAAATTTTTTAAGTGACAATACAAAGTATTGACAAAGTTGGGCTCATACCTACTAAAACATATTGCCTAAACAAATATACAGAGATGCTAAATAAAATAGGAACAAAAATTTTAAATATGTAGCCAAGGACAAAATAAAGGGCAATTTATAGGTGCCAAAAACGGAAAAACAAACAACTCCTAGCTACAGAAATACAAGGCCAGGGTCCTACTGGCATAGAATAAAGTCTAAGAAGGTATATTCTTCAGGCACAGGGAAAATTATTCTAGATAATAATTCAGAAATATAGCAAGAAATGAAGAGTCGAAAGAAAAAAAGTGGTAAATAGTAACAAGACAATGTGGTATTGGCAAAAGAATAGACAAATTGATCAATGGAATAGAACAGACCACCCAGAGATACACCCACATAAATATAGTCAACAGATCTTTGGCTTAAGAGAAAAGGCCATACATTGGCACAAAGACAAACTCTTCAACAAATGGTACTGAAATAACTGGACATCCACATGCAAAAAATTAAATCTAGACTGACCTTACACCATTCACAAAAATTAACTTCAAATGGATCACAGACCTAAATATAAAATGCAAAACTGTAAAACTTAGAAGAAAACCTAGATAACTCTGGGAATGGAGATGACTTTTTAAATACCAGTATAATACCCAAGGAATGATCATAAGAGAAATAATTGATAAGCTGGCCTTTATTAAAATTAAAAACTTCTGTGCAAAAGACAGTATTCAAGAGTATGAACAAGCCACAGACTGGAAGAAAATACTTTCAGAACACATATCAGAGAAGGGACTGTTATCCAAAACATATTTTAAAAAAATCTTAGCCTGCCTGGCATAGCTCAGTGCTTGAGCATTGACCTATGAACCAGAGGTCATGACGGTTCAATTCCCAGTCAGGGCACATGCCCGACTTGCGGGCTCGATCCCCAGTGGGGGATGTGCAAGAGGCAGCCAATCAATGATTCTCTCTCATTATTGATGTTTCTCTCTCTCATTCTTCCTCTTCTTTCCTCTCTGAAATCAATAAAAATATATATTTTTAAAAATCTTACAAGTCAAAAATAAGAAAACAACCTGATTTAAAAATGGACCAAAGACCTTAACAGACACCTCACTTAGGAAGATATATGGGTGGTAAGTAAATATATAAAAAGATGCTCCACATATGTCATCAGGGAAAGGCAAATTAAAATGAGATACCACTAATACTCCTAATAGAATGGCCAGAATCCAGAGCATTGACAACAGCAAATGACAACAAGAACTCTCATTCACTGAGGGTACACAAAACTCTCATACACAAAAATAGTACAGTCGCTTCAGAAGATGTTTTGATGGTTTCTTACAAACTAAGTATACTTTTACCATATGATCCAGCAATAGTGCCCCTTGATATTTACCCAAAAGAGTTGAAAACTTATGTCCACGTAAAAATCTGCACAAGGATGTTTACAGCGGCTTTACATTCATACCTGCCAGAAGTTGAAAGGAACCAATGTCCTTTAGTAGATGAATGGATAAACTGTGGTACATCCAGACAATAGAATATGATTCAGCATTAAAAATAAATGAGCTATCAAGCCATGAAAAGATATGGAGGAAACTTAAATGCATATTAATTAACAAGTGAAAGAAGCCAATCTGAAAAGGCTATACTGTATGTTGTATAAGTCCAACTATATGGTATTCTATAAAAGGCAAACTTACGGAGACAGTAAAAAGATCCATAATTGCTGGGTATTAGTGAGGAGGGAATGGAGTTAGGGGGGAGTTAAGTGGAGTACAAAGGATTTTTAGGGTAGTGAAAATACTGTGTGATATTTTCATAATGAATGGCTATCATTATACATTCTGTGGATGTCAAAACCCATAGAATATACATACACCAAGACTGAACACCAACGTAAACTATGGACTCTGGGTCACTATGAGGTACAGTAAACCCTTAATTTTGCAGACCTCAATTTAACGGACTTCAGATTTAATGGATAAAATTTCTAGTCTGTATGTCCTATGTGAAAATGAACACCCTGTCAATTTTTAAATGCTTTTAACCGAGATTTGCTTATAACTAAATTAACAGGTTATTTTTTGTTATTAATTCACTGTTACTTTTAACAAATTTTAGTGAATAGGCCATATGTTGGAAAAAACACTGCAGTAATTTCATCAACATAAATAAGTATTACGTATTGACAACTCTAGTCTACATACATATTTAAATCCAAGTGTCATCGCTCGTAAACAATGTTCAGGGGAATGATAAGCACATGACCACACCGCACTGCACTCAGTAACTGGTCCTGCTGTTCCCTGGCGGGACTTTCTGCAGCAGTTTTATTAATACGTGTGGGCTGATGTTCCCACATGCGCTAAGCCATGCCCAGGCGTGTGCACTTGTTTACTCTCGGTGACTGGTGAATGCATTCATTTGCTAGACCTATTCAGTATAAAGTTAAACAGTAATACATATAAAAAACTCCTATATGCATTACAGTAATACATACAGAAAACTTCTGTGAAATTAAACTTTTCATTCATAATTTTAATTACACGAACATATCTACATTAGTAAAAAACAGGTAATCTAACTAATTTGTTAATTTTTTAACATATGCATTCAGAAAACCTACTCTATTATATATCAGACTTTCGGCTTTAATGGACACCCCCCTCTCCCGAATTAGTCTGTTATATCGAGGTTTTACTGTATCAATGTAGGTTCGTCAATTATAACAAATGTACCACTTTGGGGAATGTTGATAATGAGGAGGCTGTGCATGCGAGGGGACAGGGAGTATATGGAAAATTTCTGTACCTTCCTCTTAATTTTGCTGTGAACCTAAAACTGCTAAAAAATAAAATAAAATCCTTTATTTAAAAGTGGTAAAGACATGAGTAAATGTGCATGAACAGAAACCGAGGTTATGACATACACCGTTTATATACTCACACATATATTAAGTACGAAGCATCCTAAGGTTCTCAAATGTCCACAAACAGGTAAAAGGTAAAGATATTGGACTGTTGGGCCTTGGAGGGAAGGTAGGGGAGGGTGGGGGTAAAGGGGTGAGATCAACCAAAGGACTTATATGCAAGCATATAGGCCTAACCAATGGACACGGACAACGGGGGGGTGAGGGCATGAGCGGCGTGGTAGGGGATAATGTGGGGATAAGGACACATATGTAATATCTTAATCAATAAAAAATATATTTAAAAAAAGGTAAAGATGAATATTAGACTTTTGATAAGTCAAAAGTCCATGTTGCAATTTCTAGGCTAAACACTAAATAGAACTTCGAAACTATTATTCCACATGTTGTTGCTGCTGTTCTGTTTATTTTTATTCAGTATCTTTTCTGTTTCATTTTGCATAGTTTCTATCTTCAAATTCACTGATTTTTCCTCTTGTAGTCTTTAATCTGCTATTAACCCAATGCAGTGTATTTAACCCAAAGATAAATATATAGATAGCTTTATAAAAATTTCTGAGTGTCTCTAGATGTCTTATTTTGCTTCTCATTCTTGTTATGTCTTTCTAAACATTCTTAAGCATCTAGACCAGCAGTCACCAACCGGTGGTCCGTGGACCACTGGTGGTCCGTGAGGTCCGAAAGGTTGGCAACCGCTGATCCAGACCACATCTAGAATAGCTATTTTAACGTCATTACCTGCACATCCATCGTCTTTATTATTTCTGGGTT